AATATTATATATGCACATATACATCCAAATATTTATATAGGCATCTTATAGAATGCTCATTTAATCTTGGAGCTAACTCAGCTAATTAATTTTGCTCACACTTTTGTTTGCATTTGGGCGAATGAATGCCTTAATGATGCTACCTCGACAGGCATCAGAATCAATTGATCCGATAATGTTTTGTTTTGTTTTCATTTCATATTTTCTTCTTCTCAGATGTTTTCCCATCATATTTTGTGCTGTGTTGACTTTTTGACTGCGTCTTGATTTAGCAATGACGACGAATGCAGTTCAACAATAATAAACACATGCATAAAAATGGCATTGGACATTTGGACATTGGCTACTGGGCGAACTTCCTGTTTTCACTCTTTTTTTGTGAATAGGGCAGACAATCCTCTAGAGAGAGAAAGAGAGAGAGGGAGAGATATGATCGCGGCTCTAATGCAGAGTAATTGTGTTTTTTATTTGATTTTTTAGAAAGTAGCAAACGAAATTATTACTGATTCAGTTTTTTGGAATACAATTTGAGTGTGAGTTTGCTGAGATGGTGGCTCTAATATATTATTATATATGAATCTTGATTGTGTGAATGCAGATCAATGAAAGTTGTTTTTTTTTCCCAAGCAATTCAAGTTGGCAAACAAAATGTTTTGATAGTAAATCATGTTTATAATGAATTTCAGTCTGAACAATCAAAGTAAACTTTGGCAATGAAATTTAAGGTATATAGAGATAGTTTCTGTATTATTCACATTAGAACCGATTACTCCATATGAATAGAAATGTAAATCTGCGCTTTCAGCTAACTCAATGCTTCCATGTTGACGGTTTGGCACGTGTCGAATTTGATTTGAATTCTTTTCGTTTTCTTTATTATTATGACCATTTATCATTTCTAATTACGTGCTGGCAACTTGTTGCGAAAAGCTTTCGAGCTGAGATAAGTGGCTGGAGAGACGGTCGCGGCGTACCACCCACTGAAATACACATTTCGAATGTCAGCTAGCTGCTCGACTTGACTTTCTAAATGAACTCGATTCTTGTCTGATTTCTGAATGGTGACTGAATGCTATCAAAATTAAATTAGCTCCCATTTCGATGGGATTTTCTTGAATGAATGCTGAAACTGTTGGAATTTGTGTTTGTAAAACTAGAAATACGATGGAGCGAGCAATCAGTTGCTAACCAAGAATCAGCTGAGCTCCCAGCTGAACTCGCATCTACAGAGCCCCAGTCAAGGTCAAGTTTTTCAGATAAAGTCGGCTTGAGGCTGTGTAATATATATTCTTACATAATGAAATATATATTATATAAAAACAAAAATTTATACAAGTTAGGCGCGTTCTCTGTAGAGCAATCGTGATTAGGGGCTTTGAGTCCTACTCTAATGGAAATGAATAGACTTGGATTCAATACATTAATGTAGTTTATATACAATCGAATTTTTCAGTAACATTGGGTATAAACTCTCTCGTCAGAAAATGATATGATAAAGTTAATATGAAATACATATTTTATATTATTTATGTGTCATATAAATCCTTTATAAATTCATGATATTCCCTACATAAAAATATTTCAAAAAATTTTGAAAAAATTTTCTATTTGTCATCGATGCTTCGTCGTATAAATTGAACTTTGAATCTCTTTCCAAATGTCTTGTATTCGAAATCCATTTATGTTAGTTAAATGTTATCTAAAGCGAGCTATATATACATATTTCCACATGTTCGATCCAGTTTGAAGCCTTCCTGCTACTTGAGTCTGTTCCCCAAGCATGGGAGACGCGTGTGTGAGAGTGACTAATGCAAGAAGCATTGAGGCAAAGCAACAGCTAAATCGTATATGCAAAATCATCAATGCAAAAAATAAACAAATGTGCATGTGTACATACACATACATACACATATGCACATTTATCTGTATAAATATTCGCAAACATAGGTGTGTGAGTGTTCGACAACAACTGAAGCGAATGCATGCGAATATTTGTTAGCGCTCCATTGTTAAATGATTATGACAAATTTAATTGAATTTTGTGCAACTCAAATGCACACACAGTGAAAGAGAGAGAGAGAGTGAGGGGGAGAAAGATAGAGAGAGAGAGAGAGAGAGTGAATGAAAAGAAGAAAAACATTTCAATCACTGCGAATGACAATTCAATTCATTCGCCCAACACTCGCACACCCAACCTCCACTCCACCCACCCCAAGCCCAGCAGTGCTGTTAGCCTCCTCCTGCTGCCACGGCCACGCCCA